GAAATATATATAAAAAGCTTTTTAGTTTTATTAAATTAACATTTATTTCGGTTTATTAAACTAAATTATTATAAATATTAATAAGAACTTTAATATTATAAAATTTAAATTTTCTACTTAATTTATATTTATTAAAATTAGAGAAATACTTATTAAAGCTTATAATAATATTAATAAGGCTAAAAAATACTATATAATACTTAAGAGGGTATATAATATTATTTATAATAACTACTTATTAATAAATATAAAAGCTATATTTTAGGCCGTAATTAAAATTATTAATAATACTATTAGCCCTAATAACTTCGTTTTTATACTCCTCGTTTTTAGAGCGTTTTTATATACTTTTAATAAATCTTTATTATTTTTAAATATTACTTAATATATAGAAGTAGTTAAAAAGATAATAAAAAAAGCTCGTAATTTTTATATTAATAAGTAAATAAATAAGGCCCTAGTTACTTAGAATAAACTAAATATTTTTTATATTATTAATTTATTATTATAATTAAATATTAAAGTTTAATAAAAAAGTAAAAAATAAAAAAGCCTATTTAAGTTTATTTTAATAAATAGTATTATTTATATAATAAAATTACTTTATAGCTTAATAAGCTTTTAAGTTATTATAATTAAATTTTAATATTTAAAAAAAGCTAACCCCGAGTTATTAATTATAATAATAAAATATATTAAGTACTTATTAATCTCTATAACTAACTAACTAACTAATAATAGTTCTTTTATTAATAAAATTTTTAATAAAATTATTATAATAATTAATAATAATTTTTTATTATATTAAAATAAAAAGAATAAAAGAATATTAATATAATATAGTTATAATAATACTTTTATAATTTAAGCTTATTTTATATTTAAAAAATAAATAAACCTTAAATTAATTACTTAGCTCTATAATAAGGGTATTATTATTACCCTAAGAGCCCCCTTTAAAAAATCTATTCATAAAGAGTTTTTAAGCTTTATTAAGTAAAGAGTAATTAAATTTATTTAACTTAGCCCTAAGTATAATAATATAAAAATATTTAAGTCCTAATTCGTTAATAAAATTAAAAACTTAGGTTTTAGTTTTATTAAAAGTCTTACTTAGTTATATAAAAATATAATAATAATAATAAAAAATCCTTATATAATTATTAATAATTTAAAAAACTAGTTAGTAACGAATTTTCGTATTAGCCCTAACCCTATTTTAAAACGGTTATATTATTTAGTTACGAGATATTATTTAAATATATATTTAATTAAATTAACCTCTTTATTATAAAATCTTTATTTAATTACTAGCTCGGATCCGTTATTTATATCCTAAAAGTACGGTTTTATATATTATATAATTATTATATAGTTTTATAAAATCTAATATTTATTAATAAGTAACGTATAATAAGTATTATTTAAAATTACTTTAGATAATAATATCTATTTTTAACCTATACTTATTAATTTTAATATAAAAAAGCGGATTATTTAGTATTATTAAAATATAAATTAATAATATAATTAGTTTATTAAATAAGATTTTTTTATTAAAAAGAAGAGATTAAGTTTAAGTATATTAAATTATTAACTAAACTAAAGTAATATTTTTTAGCTAACGAACTACTTATTTTTAATAATAGAATTATTTTATTAGAGGGTAATAATATAATACTTAAATAAAAGAATTAAGGGAAGAAGCTAAAATAAATTAACCTCTTAGTACTAAATATAAAATAGTAATTTATTAAATAGTAAACTCGAGGTACTTATATTATATTAATTTACTAACTAAGAATAGTTTTTAATATATTATTTACTACCTAATACTAAATAGATTTTTTATTTATTAATTATATTACTCTAAATTAATATATTAAATAATAAATAAATTACTTAAACCAAGGCTTTATATTCGTATTATTAAACCTAATTATAACTAAACTCTTTATTTTTATAAATAAGTTATTTATAGAAAATATTAATTATACTTTATAACTAAGTTATATTATTATTTTTATAAATAAAAAATAGATTAATAAAAGCTTTATAATTCGTAATAATATTATTTATTATAGCTTTATAAAAAATAAAAGGTTTATTTAAAACGTATTAATATTAAAAGTTTATAAAATAGTTATAAGTATTAATGTTATTTATATTATTTTAACTATATTAAACCTCCTTATTAAATAAGTTAATATTTTAAAAACCCTTATTATAATTTATATAAACTTATACTGATTATATAAATATCTTATTAAACTAAGTATTATAAATAAAAAGCGCTTTAAAATTAATATTATAGTATTTTAATAATTATATAAATAACGTAAGCTTTATAAAATTTACTAAATTAATAATAATAAAAACCTAACTAATAGGTTTATAAAAAGTATATTAAATAAGTCTTTTAAATAGTTCGTTAATAAAAGAACTATTATAATTAAAATAAAAAAATAAGTAATATATAATTAAAATAATAATATATTATAAATAATTAGTTGTTTAATAAATATATATATTTTTTAAACTTTAGTTTAAAAAGAAATATATATATTTAAAATATAATTAGATTAATAAAAAGCTCTTTTTTAATTATACTAAATTTATTAAGTTTTAAAAAGTTTAGATAATTAAATTATATAAATTAAAGAATTATAAAATAATTAAAAAAATAGGGTATTAAAAGTTTTATACGCACTTTATAATAAAGATTATATTAAGATTTTAATATATAGTTTTTAATTTTTTTAAATAAAGGATTTATAATAAATTTTATAGCTATATTACTAGCTTAAGAATTAGCCTTTATTTCTTTTTTATAAAAATAAAAAATTATTAATATTAAATTATAAAAATAAAAAAAATAGATTTAAATAAATAAATAAGTAAGTAGTTAAGTAAGTAGTTAGGGCCTATATTAATAAACCTTTTTATTTATTTATATTTATAAAAGGATCGCGGGCTCTATTTATAAACTTCTTTTTTTTTATATACTTAATAAATAATTCGTTATTATTAACCTCGTTATAACCAAAAGGTCTGACCTGCTTTACGTATATACTAACAAGAAAGGACTCTTTAAAGAATCAAACTAAAAAGCCTTTTTCTTGAGCAGGGCTGAAGCTGCGATTATCTGTATGTGTACGAGCGGCTGATATTACTATCCTAGAATCCAGTGGGCTTAGGCTAGGCTTTGCGAGCTGGCTTAAGCACAGATACCAAGCAAGCTGCAATCGTCCGCCCATTGATATGTCGCCACCCATTCTTCTGACACAGTATCCTGAATCTAGGTCAGGTCTGTTTTAGTTACGAATTTGTTTCGGCTAGAATCAGACCCAGATGCACAATACATCCAGAGACCCTGATCTTTGGGTCACTCTTACAATCCAAGTGCTTTGTCACCTGTCAGGGACCACTTCCAAGTTGCGAAGGATTCGTTTGGTCCCTTCTACAAGATGATGTGTCATCTATGATTCCTTCAACAGATATCACTTATTGGAGTGGTTTTGTAACCTAAAAAAAACCGTTTAAGTTGTTCTCAAGAATATTTGTACAAATGGTGAGAGTCCATCCATGCAAGCATGGACGACATAAGAATCGAAACAGGCCCAGTTGATTCCCAATCAGTTCAGTTCAGTCGCGCATGTCCTTTGCCCTGCCTGAATTTGACGTCCACGTTGTAGATGGCATCCCCAATCGCGAGAGCGTCAAACGAGCGACATAGAGACCACGGTTTCAAAGATTAAGCGTTTGTCCTGCTGTTTCGACAACCTTGCTCTTGACATTGGCTTTCCCGTAGAGAGCAAAGGTGTATGGGATCTTGCTAGAGCCAAAGTCGCCCTTAGGCGCTGTGTTCTCTCCTCCGCCGTATGACATATCGGAGACTGTGGCGTAGCCGGTCTGGCTTGAATCGGCGGACAAGATGACCTTCTTGCTCGAATTCTCAAAAACAGAGGACTCGACGCGGACCTGGGCACCCACGCGGGTATTATACCTGTGCTACCAACTTTGTTGTAGTAGTTGTTGTAAATGTGCACGGTACCGAATCGCACTGAAGGATTCCGCGAGTTAACATTGTTCCAGTAGTTGTTCGCATAGGTAACATGGAGTTTGCCCTTATCGCTAGTGTTGATATTGACATGGCCAAGGAGCGACGTTTTGTAATGGTCGTGAATGTACGAGTTGGAAATGGTGATCCAGTCAGAACCTTTGGTGATGTCGATGAGTCCATCGTAGTAGTCTTTTCCACTGCTCACATCGGATGATACATCAACGTGGTCAATCCAAACGTTCGTCGAGGACTCAATACCAATGGCGTCGCCATAGGCCTCCTTGACCTTCGAGATGGCGAGATTGCGAACAATGACGTTGGAAACGCCCTTGATGTAAAGGCCGGCACCAGTGATCCTGGATCCTTTCTGACCCACAATGGTCTTGTCTGAAGCAACAAGCACCTTTGTGCTACCAGATATAGAGCCTTTGACGACAATGTTGAGCTTGCCGCTCGACTCGGCAGCCTTGGTGAACTGAGCCAGAGTCGACACAGTGGTTGTTGATCCGCCCTTGCCACCAGTTGTTCCTCCATTGGTGCTAGCGTACCCAATGGTGCACGTCTCCGTGATGGAAGCGCGCTTACCAATGGATCCGGTTGACGCTTGATTAAGAGTGGGAGTCGGCGCAGCTGTGGCGGCACCGAGAAGGGCAAAAACTACCACGTTACTGAGCTTCATGTTGGCTTTGGTCGCGGTTAGCTGAACACGATGGATCCCAGTGCCTGAGACAGTTAAAACTAAAGAGAGCGTCTAGCGAAAAGAGCGGCGCCGATGTACAGTGAATTGTAACAGGAACCCAAATTCACAGAGAACACAGAGATGATCAGCTTTTGATGCAACAGCGGAATGGCAGACTTATGTGCTGTCCAGGCCTACTGTACTGCAGATTTCCATTGTTCAGGGCCAAGCTGGCTCAATCGGCTTTGAGATTATTGGCGCTTCATTGGCATGTGTTGGCACGGAGTTGGCACGGCGTTGGCATTGTGCTCACCCTTGCAACTGCTGCAGTCTTTCCGAGAAAGCCACAAACCACGTCCTTTTCCTTGAAGTAACTATCTAGGTAAATTCTGGGCTAAATCGTTGCGTTATGGATTAGCCCTCATGTCAACCTTATAGGTTGACTTCTCAAGACAGAAGCTCATATTTTGTCTCCTGCCGTGATGATCCACGTGAAACATCTTTGAAGTTTTTACTCTGAGCTTATTGATACATCAGAGACATACAGGTTGTATTTATACGCCGTCAGTTGTACCTGGTAGGTATGCTGACATTGTTCGAGTGCTTTAGGCGAGATTATCGCAGCTAGAGCAAACGGGGCAGAAACATTCCCAAGCCTTTTTTGACTCGATCAGGCTGAGCTCCAGGGGCTTCAATTCTTAGTTAAACGGGTAGTCCAGCACGAACCCCCCACGAATCGTTTTGAATACCTAACCGACAAAATCGAGATCATAGCCTAGGAGACCTGTTGGCATACGAGAACGCATGGGCAAGGGGCCGGCATTCAAGACTATATGCGGCTACCATTTGTCAGGTGAATGAAGAAGTTAGACAGTCACGTTATGTTCATCCTTGACTTCGACTATCGACACTTAAAGGGGACCAACAGAGTCTCGATGCTGATGTGAATGTTACGGGCTGGACCCGATTAGTAGATTCGGGCTAAGGCCTGGATTCTATCACGACTTACTGTGCCGCTTCCGCGGAGGTCCTACTTAAGCGATTATCCTCTGCGGAAGCCCCGCCCCAAATCTCTCCTCTTCAGCTCAGATTCGATGTACTATAATCACCCCTACATGGCCTCACGAGGGCTAGACTCTTAACAGTGAATGCCCTATGAGGCGCACTTGAGGGCCGAGAAAGAGCAGTCTTGGGTTGAACTGAGCAGTCATCTCTGGTATGATTCAAAGAATTCACTATTTCATTCAATCTTGGAGTTTTCCACGTTCAAATATCTCCTATAGTCTCTCACTCCTGCCGCTCGAAGCTAGGGCTGAGTTATTGTGCTGCATTTGTCTGGGTGTGAGGGTGATATGGAGTAATTAGTATGCGATTTTCTTAGGATTGACCCTTAAATTTCAATCCGACGGCTTGTGATGCCACGCGATGCAGCCAAGCTTATATCACATCTTGGTAAGAACGTCATAGACCAAATCTGCACCAATCATCGGCCAAAGTATCTGGCCTAGGTCGACTGGAGATCCGATCGGGCTGCGGTTTCCGGAGTTTCATTTATATCCTAATCGTGAATGAGTCCATCCTCCAAACATCCGACACAACGTTTTATTGTGGCTCCATGGTGCCATGAAGGATATGTGGCGGCATCATCTTGGCTCGTGGGACTCTTGGCCAGCTAGATCGTCAAAATCATCAAAGACATCTGACACCAGTTTCAACGATACGTAGGTACAAGTCCTCCGAGAACCTGGTGATTTCATCATCCTACTCGTGCCTCTCACCTATTTTTCTCGTCTAGCTCACTCAGGTGTCGATTCCTGAATCGAAGTCAGCATGCCTTGCATCTTTATTAGTGGCGCATAAGAAGCAGGTTGTTATATTCAGCGAATCAGCATACTTACATCCCTAAATTGCTTGTAAACGTATTGTCACGAAAAGTACGGGGTTGTTATTCTTGGCTATTGGAGATACATTAGTCACGTCCAAGTCCCAAAGTTTTGGCTCGTGGGCGCAAATGTTGTGCCGATGTTTTACGAGGTCTTTACAAAGGGGCAAACCCAATTCGAGGGAGTGTCCTATCATAAATCACTTATGCGTCACGGGGAATAATCTGATATGCGGCCTTCAAGACCTTACGGGTTAAGCAATCATACTACTAGTGGTGACGAAACTTTTAAGGATAAAGGCTTAGGGCAGATATTCTACTTTAACGGTGGTTGCTTTCCCGCACATCGCCGTCGGGTAATTGCTATCTAATACTATTTGCTTAATAATATTTGACGCTGTGCTTCCTCCACCAGAATCTGACAGATCTCGTCATAATTTGTGCAGGTCTCTGAGCTTTTGCTCCTAACTTCCTGACCACCTTGGCCGCACCGATGTTTGAAAGCCTTGATGTTTCCCGTATGTAATCATCGATATGAACATTCTTTTACCGTTTAACATGCACTATCCATGAATGAATCTCGCGTAAATCGCTTGATGCCGGGCTGTAATTAGATACTCCCAAAGTACATCTCCGAGCAAGACGATGACGAGCTCGACTGCTCGGTATGCTCCCTCGAAGAACACATGGACGAACCTTTCAGCCAAGACAGCCCCGGCGCCCCCGACTTTGGTGCCCAGTCAAAGATTAAAGTGCATTGCCGAAGGATAGCGCGACTCATACGACCGGCTGGATATCGATCGGAGGATGTGCAAGCTCGTCAGGGAATGGTGCAGGCAGCGTGATGCACCGTGGAATATCCAGACTGTGACGTCGTGTCGTTCTGCTACAAGGTTCATGTTGAGGGTGGCTGATATAGTGTGGATCAGGTTGGCCACGCCGTTGGATTTCATCCTACCTCGGAAGGGCGTATGCGCTCAGCCGGTGACGAATGGTGATAGTAAGGCGGCAAAGCCATCACTTATGATTCTTGATGGCCAGTGTATACTGTGGGCCCGATTGACTGGCTTCGAGATTACCTCTCTGCTTGTCCGGTGTGCGTAGAGATGAAGCTTTCCATGTGTGTTTGCAAGCCTTGCGAGATCCTCGAGCTTCGCGGACCAGACAAACACGAAAAAAGCAACACAGTGTCTGAGGAAGTAGTCGAAGCTTCCCTACCTCACATTCCTATATGCAAAGAAACTCTGAGAGCATGCTGTGGCCTTTGGGAGCGACTAGAGATTGATGGTTCGTGTGCTTTCAGGACCGTTTGAGACCGCGAGATTGGGACTGAGAAATGGACTGTTACGTCTCAAACCCATCGTGAATGGTCGGAAACACTCTTTCCTCAATAAGGAGGAGTCTTCGTTTCATTCTGATACTTTCTATCAGCTACTCCTAGCAGTGCTTGCGTCAGGCTATAGTTCGACCTTAGCGTTTCAGATCCAAGAGATGATAGTCGTGCATACTTGTGTTGCCATGTCGAAAGTTTGTTTCGGGTGACTGCTAGATCACCGCAGTACTCGACCGCCGGATGAATCAACCCACTCACAATCCATATCTAGAATCGATGGATCAAGAAACCAACCAGTCTACGAGCTGGGTTTCAATCCCAAGCTTGCCGTCACGCTCACTGTTGTGGACACTTGCGTTCGTACTTCCGCGTTCATTGATGTTGTGTCGCTTAAGATTATCACAGTCTCCGTCTTCATCACCCTCACGCGGTTGTCGATCCTCGCTGAGGTGTAACTTCTCCCCATATCGAAGCTGCCCGAGCTCGCCTAGCTGCTCAAGCTCACCTGGCTGCTCAAGCCCGTCTAGCTCCTGCTCATCTTCTCCTCCCGACTGCTCTTCAACTCTCGTTTGCTCTTCACCTCCCGAACGCTCCTTTGGCCTCGCCTCACAAAGAAGAGGCGATAACTCGCGGTCTGCAGAGGTAGCAGGCTTATCCACATCAAAACCGGTTGGCTCAGCGGGCCCGGTAGAGAACCTTGCCCGGCGAGGTGGTCGCCGCGGAGGTGTCGCCAACGGTCGAACAGAGCCTGGCGACCCTTGTTCTGAATCAGGTACAGCGTCATCTCCGGGCTCTACGGCGTTAATGGGGCGCTTCAGATGCCGCGAAAATCTTCTTGGGGGGGTCTGTAGTAGGCCGAGGCGGGTAGGGGTGTTCGAGACTACATCACCGGCATCGTCGTTGACAAGAGACGATGGGCGCTGGGGGGTAGACGGACCAGTGGCGACACCACTCATCCTGGCAAGACGAACTTCGTGGGAAGTCTTCGGATCAGCACAGATTGGTCCCTCCGTCGTCAGCAGCGCGTGAGCAATTTCGTCGTTTGGCGTTAGCTGTACCCAGTTCCTTGCTTTTTTTTCTTCTTTTGCTTTTGCGAAGGCCCGTGTCATCGACGGCCCGACAGATGGTAATTACGTAAGGCTATGCACGGTTCATGACCCTTAACGTGGCGTCGTGGCGCAACTAAGGAGCTAGACTGAATTTGGTACAATTCCCAGGTAGAGAGTCTGACCACTCTAAAAAGGTCGTAGGCCGTTGTAATTAGACGCAAATGCACTAATGTCACCCACGACTGACGACTACTTAGGCACTGGGCTGGAGTCTGAGACAACCTGGCGTGACCAACAGCCATCGGGAGGCCGTGGGTATCCTCTTATTCAGTTCCCATGCCGGGAGCCGTATCTAAGGGCCGGGCCGTTCTCGTTCCCAGTGAGAACTCTCGGCTTCGAGGTTCCAGTCTGAACGGCGACACCTGTTTGTTCGGGATCAGCAACGAAAAGGGAAAGGAGAAAGCTTGGCAGCTAGTTTGAAAGCGTAGGAGCAACAAATTTAATATGAGGCCATGAACCACGGGCCGCCCTACCCGCAGCCGCGCAGATTCCAGGCCGCCCAGATTCCAGGCCGCCCAGATTCTCACACCGGTCTCGTTTACACATGAGCGATTTCTGTTCAAAATGCATTTATTGGCTAGAGTTGCTTATCGCCGGCTTCTATAAGACATCTATCATCATCAAACATCCAACAGATCTGTATCTTCCCGATGGATAGCAGATGATCTACCGTGGG